TACTGCGCGCGTGCGTGCGTACGTGCATGCGCGTGCCTGCGTACGTGCATGCGCGTGCGTGCGTATTGTGCGTCAGGTACTGTAAAAAGTAGTTGTTTGTGACCCTACCATCCACAACAGTTGATGTGGAGAGGGGTTTTAGCAGACATTTAAAACAGCTCTGAGAAATCACCTGAAAACAGAAAGTGTTTGTGACATTCTAACCATCAAAATTGAAGGCCCAGAAGAAGATGAACTTGAAGAAGACTTTGAAAAGTGCTATGTCCAGTGGTGTGCTAAAAAAGATAGGAGAATTTTCCTGCCAGCAGTGAAGAAAAAAAATTCAGACAATTTGAATGTCTCTGTCAGTCAGTCAGAGTCATGGTGGTGAATCATAGTGTTAGTAAGTGTCTCAGTCATAGACATGTGGTGAATAATAGTTTGTTTGCATTAAATAAATGTAGTTTTGCACTTTATGCATATAAAAGTTTGTGCAAAAAATAAAAAAAATAAAAATTATCTATCGCCTTTTTGTGTTCATAAAATGTTAGGCTACAGATGTGGCTAACAGGAATCCAAATTGGCTAATGAAAATTGATTCTGGCTAATTGTTTGGCTACAGAAAAAAAAATCCTAGCTAGGGCCCTGTATTACTATATAGCAGGTAGGAAAGCGCGCTGCCAAAATTCGCTTGACGCTCGCTGGATTTCACACGAATACAACACAAATATTCAACCATTCTACTCCATCTTTGTTTCTATTTCAAGGACAGTGTTCACTTGTTATAAAAACATACTGTCTGTGTTCGTAACCGAGCTGTGTCACGCAAAAGCACACAGCCTGACGAAATTATCGCGTTCGCTCCCGTTGTGCAGTTTATGTAAATGGCTGCAAGTACAGGGCTATAGGCGGCGCACTGCATTTTGGGAAACTACCACGCTGCTTCCCAACTCCCGTACGAGCCCCGTCAAAGCCGCCAGTGGAGCGTTGCAATAATGCGGTGCAAAAATGAGGTCATGAAGAGCGCCGGTGGGTGTTTCCTGATTCCGACAGCAATTTAGATAAACTGTGCAACGGGAGCAAACGCGATAATTTTGTCAGGCTTTGTGTGATTTTGCGTGACACAGCTCGGTTACGAACACAGACAGTATGTTTTTATAACAAGTGAACACTGTCCTTCAAATAAAAACAAAGATGGAGTAGAATGTTGAATATTTGTGTTGTATTCGTGTGAAATCAAGCAAGCGTCGAGTGAATTTTGGCAGCACGCTTTTCTACCTGCTATATATTTATGTGTCAGTGTGCAGCAGCTAGCGTGCGGCAGCCAGCGTGTGTTGTAGATGAGCATTTGGATGGCATTTACAGGAAATTGTCGGCAATAATAGGTGAAAGAGAGTAGAGAAACATTAAGACTTTGGTAGTAAATAGATTTCGTATTTATTTAGCATTATATTTTATTGAAACGCTCCAAGTGCCTGTGACAAGAACAGCTTAATTGACTGTGCAGTTCAAAACATGAACACATTGTGCCATTGCCAATGGCAATAGTATTGTTTGTGCCACGAGACAGTGTAATTAAGTGGCCTAGCATTTTCTGGTTGTTACCGTTACGTTAGTAACTTAGTGTTAGTGATGCTTCACCTTCGGTTACGGGTTAGTGTGACTGTATTACATCTCCTACACTACAGTACACAATCTATTATCCGAAACCCTTGGGACCAGACACGTTTAGGATTTCGGAATGGTAGTAATATTATATACAGATATACATACCGTATATCCTGCAGCTAGCCTGTACTAAACCCCAAATTTTCAAGAGGCCAAGTGTACAGGTACAGTAAAATATGTATGAGTAATTACAAACACATTAATATTTCTGCAGTGAACCTTGTGCAGCCAAACGTGAGCTTTGATGTGCAGCTGACCTCCACGAAAAAACTTGAGTAAAAAGGTTGTGTAAAAATGGGTCAAAGTGGTATTCTTATACAATAACTTCATACCTATACACATGTTGAATAGTGTTTTCTGGCACCATGTCATCGGGTGTAATTTTAAGTGATGTGGTTATGCTGTCGCCGGCTACAAGAGACGATGGCCACAAAAAAACTTTGGCCAAAAACGATTTAATTAGGTGTGAAGTTATTGTATAAAAATACTAATTTAACACATTTTTACCTGAGTATTTTACTCCACCAGTAAAGGCCTGCCATTTCTGCAGGAGATGCATCATAGGTGTAATATGGGGGTGGGATATGTTGTTAGGTAGGTTGTATACATGATGTAAGACACTACCAGTGTCACCTTCAAAATGGCCAAGGCACGGGCTGCAGTGAGTTTAGCACCAAAGCTGCGCTGAAATGTACATCAAAATCTTTTTCAAACAAAAAATGCACCTAACAAAGTTTCAAGAAGGTTGCTGCATAAATTCATAATAAAGGAAACTGGATCATGCGTATATTCCTTCACTTTTCTACCATTCCAATAGTGATCATGACAGTTTTACCTAACTCCATGTTCCAACTTGGCTCTTCTAATACTATGCTCCCACACATTGGTAGAGCAGCAAACTTAGGGCAGTATGGTAGATGTAACCTAGCTATAATTAAGGTCCAATGCTATAATTAATAGCTATAATTAAAAGCTACAATGCGAGTCGAGTTGGCGGTTGAGTCGAGTTGGCGGTTGAGTCGAGTTGGTGGTTGAGTCGAGTTGGCGGTTGGGTCGAGTTGAGCATGCCCCATAATTAAGCCCTGCGCTAACCATATCTTCAATCATTAAAGCCGCACAATGCGCATCCAAACGCTAATTTCTCCAGTACTAGACTAGCAAATACTTCGTGTCATGCATAATCACACTACCTTATGACAAAATAAACTCTAGTTCCTCCCATTTCACAGCGCGTTGTCTTATAAAAGGTATTTGAAAATACTAGGTCGCAGTGACCTGGTTTTGGTACGCTGCTCACCTTCTCCCCAAGATGTGTAAGTAGACCAAGTTTGGTCACGCTAGGTCAATTAGGGGTCGAGTTATAAAGCGGAAGGGAAAATCTCTGCAGCGGACCGAGCGGCGGCGGCGGCGGCTGTACAGACATGAAACCATAGTATCCCCGCCGACTTCGTCGCGGGGGATACAACTAGTCCGGTGGACTAACCGACTGTCAGTGTCAACTTAACTTAGCACTGTCAGTTTTTGAATAACACAGACTAATAAAATCATAATTTATATTATTTCTCTTTCCTGCAAGCTGTTATAACTTAATTTTATGTAAATTAAACCACCAATTATCCTATATAATTAAAATTAGTATTCGTTATCCTGCACGTTGATCAATAACATGAACACAGCCATGTTTGTTGCTTATGCTATGACATAAACGGACTCCATTCGTTTTAGCAAAACTCACGAAATACCAAAATTTTGAACTACCAGAATTGCTCACAGACTACCAGATTACAAAATCTAGTAGTCTGTACGAATACCAGACAAACAAGTTTAAATTTGCATCCTGATATGAGGGTAAAATTATTCATGTTTTTACCATCATGGACATTCGGACAGATTTTGTCGTATCCTCCCATGACTTCAACTGACCAACTTTGGTTCTTAGGTGTGCCATCAAGTCATTCAGCCGAAGATCAGACGCCTTGGGCGTTTTCTCACCTGGAAGGAAAGAACAGTCAACATGAACACATAAATAATGCACAATTATGTATTCTGTCGTAAAGATAAATTAGTTTAGACATGAAACAAGAGAACAATGTTTAAAAAAATCAGAAATATAGCTGAAATCACTCAATAATGCTAAAAAAAAAAACTATTACAAATGTATTTGTTTGTGTTTCTAACATTAATCTAGCCACTAGCCACAGATAATTGCGCACCATTAAATCAACACATCAACAATTTAGCTGTGTGAGAATAACGCTCATATGCGCGTACCAGAGGCAAGCACAGCAGCGCACGCTACCTATATAAAATTGCTCGTCAGAAAACAATAATTTATTCAAAGAATCAAAATAAGGTGCTGACACTAATAAACCTTCGTCTTTCATTCTTAATTTCATTCAATGGTACTTGGTTAGCTATTTAGAGTTGCACGTCTTCAATTGGCACTGTGATACATGAAATCGCACGTTACCCTTGTTTTTCGTATCTCCTTGACTACTTTTTAAATGTTCTGTTGCACTGGTGGTACACTTTTTCACAAAGAAAGATTGTAATATACAAAAAAAATTGTTTACATTAGGCCTAATGCTTTGATCATGAGTAAAGGGGAGTATTCCTTCTCATAAGTAATAATAAATTTTTGAAAAAATTTGCCGTTAGCATCGGATTATCTGGTGCAAAAATCTCAATTTTATACATTTATATATCACAGTTTAATAATGCTACAATCTTCGCTCAATATTAAATAGAAGCAGCAGCTTCATAGTAAAATAAACATGTTATTTATATTGTTGGTATCCTGGTGTTTATTGATAATAATTACAAATCAATGATTATACCAGGGAACGAATTTCGCAATTTTAGCCACTTGGGGAAAATCGCGAATGCCTAAAAAATCTACGTGCTAAAATGAATTCTAACGTGCAATTTTTTTTTTGCAAGCAAAGTGCCGTTTGTGCCTGCTGCCAGAAGCGATCGGCATTATGAAAGTGTAAACACAGGACACCAGAGGGTAAATAATGGCGAATTGAAACTTGTTTAGGCAATTTGACCGACCAGTTTGACCATTAATCATGAAATATATTCTTTCCGTGATCGACAGTGATAATGTATGCGGTGTATGCTATAAATTTCCACTCAAAGAAAATAGCAAGTGCTTATATTTTCTACTCGCAATTTCTCAATATAGACACGCATTTTGCGAGTTAGCAATAGAGAATCGAGCCCTGTCAAACCCGCTTGCCCGGTGCAACCAAAATTCGCCCCTGGGCAAATAGCTTGAAATTGCACTTGCCCGTTCGCGTAAGCAATTTTTTTTCATTGAATGTCTAGATATAATGATATTTTTCTGTTTCCACCAGTCCCTTGCATTGTTTTGCACAAACACAACATCGCGCTGCCTTGCTGCGACGAGATTTGAATGAAAAAAACAATGCAAATGAAACAATCGGTGGATACAGTGATATACACAACATGCACACAGCACACAGCAACATGTAAACTTGGCCCCCAGGCCAGGCATGGTAATTACGTGATCAGCGTAAATCTCAAACCTCAATTGCCCCTCTACTGTAACCTGTATAATCCAGTCGTTATGTTTCGCACGGCTACACTAACTACTCTGGTGAGTAGGCCCTCTAGCGGCCGTTACGATCAGGAGCATTACCTCTACTGCAACATGTGAACGAGAATTTTCTTCGCTGAAGTACACAAAAACAGATACACTGTATACTGTGCTGTCAGTCTATTATATCTGCATGCATGCACCGCTATATTCTCTGCGCTTACGATCCAGCCCCAAATAAACCTGAACATATTTTATTAATTTATTGGGGGTGTGGTGGGTTTTTACCTCCGCCCAACGGAGTTGGAGGAGGTTATGTGATCGGTCTCGTGTGTTCGTGTGTTAGTGTGTTCGCGCGATCGATATTAGCGCGTCGAGGCAGCGAGCCAGCTCGTAACACATACATGTTACATGGGAGCTACGCTGCATGGGAGCATGGATGTTACGCTGGCGTATATCGTGCGTGAGTCGTATGTCGTATCAGTAGTGTCATAATATAGACAATGTTCTACTATAGTGTTACTTTAATACTATAGTTACTTTACTATTGCTGTCATGTTATACTATTACTAATATGTTATACTATAAGCATTTAAGCAATCATCGATTGCTTAAGCAATCTCTTCACTTCTATCAGAGCTACGATAGTACGCTGGCGTATATCGTGGGTTATACGTGTGTTCGTGAGTCATATGGCTTATGTCGCTGGCGGAGGTATGCACTCTCCGTGAGTGCACTGACTGCACTCTGTCTAGTTGATAATAAACTGACACTTTTTAAAAAATTTAACATTTTTAATAAACTGCGTGCTGTGTCCCAACAGGGCCAACATGAATATATTTTGTATACAAACTCGTATCAGCTGTTTAACTTTCTACCGTCCCGTTAAGTGAAATGCTGGATGTTGACTAGTTGGACCTCCAGGGTTAGATACTAACCATTTTACTTCATTAGTCCACAGGACTAGTAAAAGAAAAAATGTACTAGTCCTTCCAAGATTCTACTAGTCCTGCCGAAGAACTCTTACTAGGCGCAGAGCGACGAGCATTGTAATTTGCCAGGAGGTAGGTGGGGTAGGAGGGTGGAACCCCCCTTCTGCTAGGGGGTACAGGGGGTCTCCCCAGGGTACAAGGGGTGTCCCCCAGAAAGGCTTTGTAAAAGACATTCAATTGTATAAAATATACGTAACTTTGATATGGATCATAAGATTAAAATTTAAATTAAATTAAATTTTAATTCGAAAATAAAATTTCGGCCTCCTTTGATGAGGAATCTGTGGATCCATCACTTATCACAGCAAGGAATTTAGCCTCATTTATAGCTCCAAACTGTTCCCGGCGCCTTGTATCGGCTATCGCCGTAATGAACCTCTGGCAGGCCTTGTCGGTTGTTCTACTGTTTGTTCTATGTTGACAGCTACTGTCAAGCGATCGATCGGTAGACTGGTTCGTGGCCCTATTGTTTTTAACAATGTTTGTACTGTCATAGGGTCTAGCGTGCAGAGCGTGCTAGCGTCTACTTGTACTAGCGCGTCTATTAAACAGGAAAAAACCTGTTGATGGTAATGAGTATATATATATAGCTCTTTGGATCTTAGTTGAGAGAAGCTGCCGCCGGGGACTATAGTAAAATCGATGGGAGGATGGGAAATTGAGACGGTGAGGGACGGGGAAAATAACTAGTCCACAGGACTAATATGGGGCATTTACTAGTCCTTCTTATTTTTTACTAGTCTCGAACTAACGGACTAGCGTTAGTGTCGAACCCTGCCCTCCATTTACGTTATTTACCATTTAAATTCATATTAGAAAAAAAAACCTTATATGTATTTCTTTATGTTTTTCGGGCAAGTGACTTTTGCCTCCGGGCAACCATTTTCATAACCCACTTGCCCGACAGGGCAAGTGGAAAACAAAATTTTGTAGCACCCTGCTGTATACAAACTCTCACAACAATGACATAGCTACAATGGGTGTGATGTTTTTTCCATTATTAATGATGCAACATAATAATTTGTACAGAATTTTACATCAATTCTTCTCTTTCATCGTGAAGCATCACGAACGTTTACCTCAAAGTGAAAGATTATAATAGTGTTCAGGAGTTAATTCTAGTACTACGCATGAATTTTTGTTATTCATTATTTCAAAATGTGCTAATAAAAATACCATCTATGGCTGCAATTAGCTTTTAATTAAATAAATGCTGCACGACTCTGTCGCTTGAAATTAGGAATGATTCCAAATATTTTTGTTGTTATGATTATGGCGAAATGTTATCATGCATGTGTGCAACCAAGTCAATGGTAGGAATAGCTTCCATTTTTCTCAACTGTCGTCAAACGTAGCTGTGCGTATTGAGTGGTGGTGGCACTGGTGCACTGGCCGCACAGTGTGACAGATTGTTAGATACATAACTCACTGATACTGATAGTGATAAGTAGATACGTGAGTATAGTTTGATGTCAATGACTGTCATGATTACATTTACACTTACAAGTTACAGTAGTGAGTAGGCTACAGAGCGGAGTAATCATCATACAGACAGGTAAATAATTAATGAGTAGGTGAATAGTGACAAAACAAAAAGGACACCGATACACATCACGCTGGTTAGCAGAATCACAAAATGTGGTCAGTGTCGTGGGATGTGTGAATAACTAGGAATAAATTCCATGAGAAATTCCATGAGACCATTCCAAAGATGAGAAAAGTTAACAAGCTAATTTCGACTATACTCATTTATACTTTTACGATTTTATAATAAATAATATTTTCACATATGCGTGGGCCTTGACTACAATTCACTAAAGATTTACAACGACAACGAGAAATGTAAATCTTAACCTCCCAACATACCTTGAAGTTGAAATTCCATGTCAACTCCATTTAAACCCAATACCATGGCTGACATATTGGTGTTGTTGGTATACATAATGCGTATCGGAGAGTTAAAATAAAAATGCAAGAGTTGAACTATATGTAAACTGCTTTTAAATAATTTAGACAAATACGAGCAATATTATATTTCATATATAAGTGCTTTCCCATATTCACTGCGCGTTTGGCTTAAAACCCACAAGAAAGAGTGAAAAACTGGCATTCTGGCGCAAACGCCGACTGTTTGCCAAACAATTTAGCCTCGAAGTGGTAATCTTTGCTACACCCGTACCGCTGTACCGCAGCACCGCTGTGCGGTTGCTTGGCAGGGCAACGCGAAAGTGTCAACAACATCGGAAAATTTGAACAACATTGGAGGTATTTTCAAATACCTTTTATAAGACAACGCGCTGTGAAATGGGAGGAACTAGAGTTTATTTTGTCATAAGGTAGTGTGATTATGCATGACACGAAGTATTTGCTAGTCTAGACTGGAGAAATTAGCGTTTGGATGCGCATTGTGCGGCTTTAATGATTGAAGATATGGTTAGCGCAGGGCTTAATTATGGGGCATGCTCAACTCGACCCAACGCCAACTCGACTCAACCACCAACTCGACTCAACCGCCAACTCGACTCAACCGCCAACATCGACTCGCATTGTAGCTTTTAATTATAGCTATTAATTATAGCATTGGACCTTAATTATAGCTAGTTACATCTACCCATACTGCCCTAAGTTTGCTGCTCTACCAATGTGTGGGAGCATAGTATTAAGAAGAGCCAAGTTGGAACATGGAGTTAGGTAAAACTGTCATGATCACTATTGAAATGGTAGAAAAGTGAAAGAATATACGCATGATCCAGTTTCCTTTATTATGAATTTATGAGCAACCTTCTGAAACTTTGTTAGGCATTTTTTGTTTGAAAAAGATTTTGATGTACATTTCAGCGCAGCTTTGGTGCTAAACTCACTGCAGCCGTGCCTTGGCCATTTTGAAGGTGACACTGGTAGTGTCTTACATCATGTATACAACCTACCTAACAACATATCCCACCCCCATATTACACCTATGATGCATCTCCTGCAGAAATGGCAGGCCTTTAACTGGTGGAGTAAAATACTCAGGTAAAAATGTGTTAAATTAGTATTTTTATACAATAACTTCACACCTAATTAAATCGTTTTTGGCCAAGTTTTTTTGTGGCCATCGTCTCTTGTAGCCGGCGACAGCCATAACCACATCACTTAAAATTACACCGCCGATGACATGGTGCCAGAAAACACTATTCAACTTGTGTATAGGTATGAAGTTATTGTATAAGATAACCCACTTTGACCCATTTTTACACAACCTTTTACTCAAGTTTTTCGTGGAGGTCAGCTGCACATCAAAGCTCACGTTTGGCTGCACAAGGTTCACTGCAGAAATATAATGTGTTTGTAATTACTCATACATATTTTACTGTACCTGTACACTTGGCCTCTTGAAAATTTGGGGTTTAGTACAGGCTAGCTGCAGGATATACGGTATGTATATCTGATATATAATATTACTACCATTCCGAAATCCTAAACGTGTCTGGTCCCAAGGGTTTCGGATAATAGATTGTTGTACTGTAGTGTAGGGATGTAATACAGTCACACTAACCCGTAACGCGAAGGTGAAGCATCACTAACACTAAGTTACTAACGAGCGGTAACAACCAGAAAATGTCTAGCCACTTAATTACACTGTCTCGTGGCACAAACAATACTATTGCCATTGCAATGGCACAATGGTTTCATGTTTTGAACTGCACAGTCAATTAAGCTGTTCTTGTCACAGGCACTTGGAGCGTTTCAATAAAATATAATGCTAAATAAATACGAAATCTATTTACTACCAAAGTCTTAATGTTTCTCTACTCTCTTTCACCTATTATTGCCGACAATTTCCTGTAAATGCCATCCAAATGCTCATCTACAACACACGCTGGCTGCCGCACGCTAGCTGCTGCACACTGACACATAAATATTATAGCAGGTAGAAAAGCGTGCTGCCAAAATTCACTCGACGCTTGCTTGATTTCACACGAATACAACACAAATATTCAACATTCTACTCCATCTTGTTTATTTGAAGGACAGTGTTCACTTGTTATAAAACATACTGTCTGTGTTCGTAAACCGGAGCTGTGTCACGCAAAATCACACAAAGCCTGACAAAATTCTCGCGTTTGCTCCCGTTGCACAGTTATCTAAATTGCTGTCGGAATCAGGAAACACTACCGGCCTCTCATGACTCATTTTTGACCGCATTATTGCAACGCTCCACTGGCGGCTTTGACGGGGCTCGTACGGGAGTTGGGAAGCAGCGTGGTAGTTTCCCAAAATGCAGTGCGCCGCCTATAGCCCTGTACTTGCAGCCATTTACATAAACTGCACAACGGAGCGAACGCGATAATTTCGTCAGGCTGTGTGCTTTTGCGTGACACAGCGTCGGTTACGAACACAGACAGTATGTTTTTTTATAACAAGTGAACACTGTCCTTGAAATAGAAACAAAGATGGAGTAGAATGGTTGAATATTTGTGTTGTATTCGTGTGAAATCCAGCGAGCGTCAAGCGAATTTGGCAGCGCGCTTTCCTACCTGCTATATAGTAATAGTATATATTTGTGTCAGTGTGCGGCAGCCAGCGTGTGTTGGCAGATGAGGCATTTGGCG